AAAATCATAAACTTTTGCAAACGAAAATAATTTAAGTAAATTTTAAAGAGAAATTTAACAAGATATTTGAAGAATTTTTTTTTCTCGCAATCTACACATGAAAATATTCAAAGAAAATTTTATGATATAAGAGTGAGAAGTGAAAAAGGAAAAGGAGAAAATTTTCGAACTGCAATCAATTAATTTCAGATTAAAACTTTGTTGAAGTTTACTTACCCTAAATAATATATTGATAAGAAAAAATGAATATTGCAATATGGGCGTCAAAAGAAAGAGAATGAAGAAGGCTTACAGCCAGAAATATTTTTTTAGAGTTGCCACCTGTTTGAAATTTTACATTTAATTTAATTTATAAGATAAATTGAATATTGCAATATGGGGATCAAACTGAAAGGGTTTAGGAAATTATACTGCCGAAAATATTTTTAGGGAGGGCTGCCACCTGTTTGAAAATTTTTATTGAATTAAATGATAAAATAAATGAAATCTAAATCTACATCTAGATATCTATATCTATACATATAATAAAATTGTAACAGGTCGATGTCTGTACATTATAGATATTAAAGAAAAATTAATGTGAATTAAGAAATCTGAGACGTCACGTTTAACAATTTCATACAGTTCTCTTTACAATGTATTTCACTAAACTACTAAACGGCTGCACCGACTTGGTTCATATTTGGCAACACCTTGAAAATAAATATTCTGACCCAAAAATTTACTCGGTATGTAGCTCGAGATATTCCTAAAATTCTTATACAGACTGAAACGTAAAAAACCAATATATCTCTAAAACCAATTACGCTGGGAAACTGAACTTAGCACTGGTGCATATATTGCAAATGCATTGGAAAAGGAGCGTGGCTCCTTCCTTCCATACAAACTGAACTTCCCATATAGCTTATCTCTGGAACTACTTACGCTAACGTCCTGAAATTCTACACAGCTACATTTTTTATCAATACCGTACTTATGGCGAAAAGTGGTAATTATTGGAAAGACTGCATCGATATACATTTACGTAAACGCACAAGTATCACTCGATTGGGAACCATTTTCTCCTAGATTTCTAAATCCCATTGAAATATTGTAACTTTGTTTTTAGTTTTTAGTAAAAGGTAAAATTTATGTGAAAATTTTGAAGAATTTTTTTAAATTTTGCACAAAGAATGGAGCTTTGATTTTTCGGGTTTCGTTATAGACTGCCCTATATCTACATACCTATTTGCATAAAATGATAGCCGTTTTCGTTGTTCGGAATAAACTCAAAAACCACTGAATAGAGTTCCGTCAGATGGTCGGAGGTTATCTGACATACATATATTACATGCTACTAGAAAACTCGCTAGGTGGTGCTGGAGTAGAGTTATTTATAAAAATCGTATTTATTAACCGATTTCGTTCAAATTTTAAATGTGAGCTATGTACCTGTATGATGGAAAATTCTTTTGATAAAAATTTACCCAATTAGTGCCGCAGGAGTTAAGGTTGAAATTCATAACACGTATTCATTTTATGGTAAGCAATGGTTTTACAGAAAATGAACCCAATGGATGGCGCTGCAGCCGAAATGTATAGAAACCCCGTGGTTGGTCTACTTTGGCCCTATGTTTAAGTTATACGAATTTAGTTTTCAGATGTCTAAATGAAGGATGGGGTTAAGTTTGTAAAAGTGGTGAATTAACAAGGAAAGATCACCGTAGGTATATCAATTGCTCCATTTGAAAGATACTTAAGAGATCACACGACTCATTTAGCAATGTACCGGAAAACTTTTCATCCTATATGACAGCGAGGATTCTAGGCCCTCCTATAACAGAAAACTCACTTCTGTGCTCTTGAGTTTCTCTATAAGAACTTTTATTGGCATACGCATCGCACCAATGTTGTAGTTGCAAGATCATACAAAAAGATTACGCATGCTTGGCAGAGATCTCACGAGTGGAAATAAGACCATTGGTAAAGCTCATGACACCAAAAGGGATAGATATTCCATATGGTATCACAGCGTTACTATTATTGGCCTATGTGAGAGGAGGATACTGCACCTTAGTGGTTTCAACTTAAATCAAAAATTTTGACTTTACAGACTAATTTTGTTTTTAAACGCTCTTTTGCATTGGCCAACGAAAAGCTCTTATTAGGCGCCGCGAAGTAAGCGGGCATTGGCTAGTAACTGATAAAAATCTAAAGCTGCGATTCACCACCTTCGGGGGGACCCTCCAGCTCATAACAACAGTCCAACTCTGCGATTCACCACCAAAGGGACCCTTCAGAGGATAAGGACACATTAATAAAATAAATAAAAATTAGTTATGGCAAATCCTAATAACCTCGTCCGACCCCCATTGCTAAATACGACTCCCACAGCCCCTTCCCAACCAGTTACCTATAACCCTAACGAAATTAATATGGAACAACTAACGAATATAATAACTGGCGTGGTGACTAATATATTAAGACAAGAAGGACGAAACCTAGTGCAAGCCGCCCTCAACCCCAATGCAAATTTTACAAATATTACGGACGTGACCATAGACTCGACCCTAGCGAACAATATAACGGAACTAGACAAAATTCCGGACGTTGTGAGATGCCTACGGGAATTCTCAGGCAATCCGGGAGAGTTTAACTCCTGGAAAAAAGGCGTAGATAGAATATTGCAGATCTACGAGCCACAAAAAGGAACCCAAAATATTATGGCATCCTTAATGTTATACGAAATAAAATCGTGGGCAACGCCGATATTGCCCTCGAATCTTATAATACACCGCTGGATTGGAAGGCTATTTCGAGATGCCTTACCCTCCAGTACGCAGATAAACGAGATTTGGGAACTCTAGAGTACCAGATGACCGCATTAGTGCAGGGCAACCTCACTATTCAAGAATTTTACCAAAGGCTGTATTCACACCTGTCACTTATTCTCAACAAACTCGGATGTATGGAAGTAGGTACAGAATCCATGCATTTGCTTACACGGACCTACCGGGACAAAGCCCTCAACACCTTTATTCGAGGACTAAACTGTGACTTGCCGAGACTTCTTGGCATGAGAGAACCGGTAGACCTTCCTCAGGCTCTCCACTTATGCTTAAAACTTCCGTTCAAACTACGCGCTGAATAATAATGGCCAAGTTAAGAAAATCCAAGATCTGCGGCCACCTCTTCCACCCAGAAAAATAAGTAATGAATTCTACCCACAACTGGGGTACATTCCAAGACCATACGTGCCTCCACATAATTTTATGGCTCACCAACGCCCACAACCTACTCTTAGTTACCGTAATTCCCCAAATTATAGGCCTCCGGCTCAACCCCCCGCTAAGACGCAACTTCCACGTCCAGAGCCAATGGATGTCGACTGCTCCTTGGATTCAAAAGCGGTCAACTACATGAATAGGCCACCACTTAATAACCAGGCCGGGAAAAGACCATCCAACTTTTCCCCACAAGTGCCTCTGAAGCAACAGAGGAACTTCCACATTGAGGCAGGTACTCAAGAAGACCAATACTATTTACAGGACCAACAAGACCAATATTATCCGCAAGATCAACAGGATTGGTATCCAACAGCGGAAGAGTAGGAAGCAGAAATTGCCAAAGAAGAAGGTGGACAATCAGTTCAGGAATACGCTGAACAAAATCCATCACAAGACGTTCAAGACCATATCGATATTCATCTTTTAGAATGAACAGTTCTTCGTTGCCGTATGTAGAGTGCAGAACGAAGAACGGAAAAATTCTGAAAATGCTCATCGATACCGGTTCGAGCAAAAATTACATCCAACCCTGCCTCGTGTCAAAACGAATTCCCAATGACCAACCATTTTTTGCTAATTCCATAGCCGGACAGATACAAATTACCCACCACACAGTTATTAATCTATTTGGCAGAAAGGACACGAATTTAAAACTATTTTTGCTCCCCACCCTAAAATCCTTTGACGGCATAATTGGAAACGATAGTCTTAAAGAGCTTCGTGCCACCATAAACATCCACGACGACTCCCTCACATTTGGCAATGGCATAAAAATAAAAATTAAACAACAACCTTCACCATCGGTTAACAAAATTTACGTAAGGATCGACCACATGACAGAAACGCAAAAACGACATATTGACCGCCTCACAAACAAATATCCGCACCTATTTACCGAACCAGATGAGAAACTCACCTACACCACTACTGTAGTAGGGGAAATTAGAACCTCTTCAGACACCCCAGTATACACCAAATATTATCCTTACCCCCTAGCAATGAGAGACTTTGGGAAACAAGAAATAGAAAATCTATTAAAAGATGGAATTATTAGGCCATCCCGTTCACCCTACAACTCGCCCGTGTGGGTTGTACCTAAGAAGTTAGACACGTCTGGACAAAAAAAATACAGACTCGTAATGGATTATAGGAAATTAAACACCCTAACAATAGCCGATAAATACCCAATCCCGGAAATCAACGAGGTGATCTCGCAACTGGGAAACAACACATATTTTTCTGTTTTTGATTTAAATAGTGGCTTCCATCAGATTCCTCTGAAGGAATCCGACATTGAGAAGACAGCTTTCATTGTATAACAAACAGGCATAAAAATTAATCCCACTAAAGTAAAAGCAATTCAAGAATTTCCATGTCCAAAAACACTAAAGGACTTGAGGGCTTTTCTTGGTCTATCAGGCTATTATCGACGCTTTTTCAGAGATTACGCCAAGTTAGCGAAACCTCTGACATCGCTTGTGAGAGGGGAAGATGGACGCGTGTCCAAAAATTCCTCAAGCAAAAAGCTAGTAGTGCTCGATAAAAACGCCTTAGAGGCGTATTTCGGACTTCTAATAATTTGTGCCACAATCACAACCTCCCTAACGGACGTTAAAATTTTGGACTATAATTAAGCGCAACTGGTGACAATAGACAATGGACAAGCGAAAATACAAGACGGCACATTCAGACTTATTCATCTCATCGACTTAGCAAAATACGAACGATTTTTGACAGAGACCTATAACGAGATAGCCAACCAAATCCCTAATGACCACTTCCTATATCCTATCCTAAAACATGAAACCACCCA